AACTATCGTCGATCAAACAAGTCAATCGGGAACAACTTGTGAAATATGGCGAAAATCGAGTACCGCACTGTTATAAAGTTCCTTACCAAACAAGGAAAATCAGTTAAAACCATACTGGAAGAGATGCCATCCGTTTATGAGGACTCTTGCTTAGGTAAAACCATGGTTTATAAGTGGCATACCCTCTTTAAGCAAGGCAGGGACTCGCTTGAAGACGACCCACGGCCAGGCCGGCCGATCGAGGTGATCCCTCCGGAAATCATTCAAAAGTCGAAAAATTAATACTGGAAGATGACCTACTCAAGAAGAAACAACTCGCAGAAATGGTAGGAGCATTAGATACAACCATTTTTATAATTCTTCACGATTATCTTGACATGACTAAAGTTAGCGCAACAGGGGTGGCGAGAATGTTCACTCCACCTCAAAAACAACTCGAGTGTTTTCGGGCGTTTTTGGACCTCTGTAGTGAAGATAAAGATGGAGTATTGACTCAAATTGTTGCTGCTGGGGACGAAACTTGGGTTCATCGTTATGAACCTGAGTCCAAACAGAAATCTGCAGCGACACAAAAAAGTCACACAACTGCCCATGAAGTTTAAGATGTCACAGTCGGCTGGGAAAATCAAGGCGACAGTCTTTTCGGACTCAGAAGGGATTCTGTTGATTGATTATAAAGATAAAGGTGTCTCTATAACCGGAGAATACTAGACTTCAATCCTAGAGTGGTTAAAGGAAGAAGTCAAAGAAAGAAGAAGACTGTTAGGTTCAAAGGTTCATTCCTTCTGCACGATAACGGGCCTGTTCACAAAAGACGTGTTGCGATAGCTGCCCTACAGAAGGTGGACTTGGCTCACCTACCCTACAGTCCCAACCCAGCTCCCAGCGATTACTACCTATTCCCAAACTTGAAAAAAAGTCGTCGTGGAAAGAAATTTTCAAGCGACGAAGAAATGAAGGATGCGGCGTATTTTTCTGACAGACAAAACATTTTTTTTTTGAAGGTATATGTAAGTTAATTGAAAGATCGGAAAAATCTATAAGAGTAGCAGGTGAATATATTGAAAAGGAAAAATCATTCCCATTCGCCCATTCCGCTAACTTAAAGACGCCCTCTCGTACATCCATAAGATGCTTCGTAGTTCTCATTACGCATCCTAGACTTATCCAGTCCGAATTGATCGTAATTTACGTAACAGCTGGCTGGCGCTCTTGTTTTATCGTTAAATTAGACGTTTACGATAGTTCGTCAAGCAAAATAACTTCGTTTGTAACATATTGCATAATTACTTAAAATTATTAACATCTTCAACTTCTTGGTCTGAAATTTATTAGAACTACCGCATCGCGATTTCGAGATTGTTTGATCTCATCAACTTAAAATTATGCAGTTGTTTTTAAAGCAATTGGAAGAGAATTTATATTTGAAAACTGTTAATGGTATTTGTAAGTTACTTAATGGATTAACTCAACCCTGCGGGGACTGGTGACTTCTTTGTCGTTTGCATACGTACATAGACTTTTGCGGTATCTTTTGTTTTGCTTCTAAACTATAATAAACATTTCTCAGAGAGTATAAATTGTAAGAGTAAAACGGATGTTATGCTAAAATAAAAGACTGTCTTGGGTGTTTTAAAACCCAACTTTTCTAATTGAAACATAATTCATCTATTATGATATAACTGATGGCGTCGCTCGATGATGATTAAAAATTTTGAAGATCTGTGTGCGTTGACATCAAATGCGGTGGTGCGGTTTAGTGATCTAACTTTTAGACTGTTTTATTTTTCCTTTAGTTAGCTTTGTCCTTCATCTGTCCTCAAACTTTTCTCTCTACCTCTGTTGGTTTGTATTGTTTCTTTGCATCATCGTCTTTAACCTTCTATGAGCTTCACTATCAAAAATTAAATTATAAATAATTGTATGATGGTGTATAGCTTTTGTTAAATATCTTGCTTTAATTTTAGTTTAACTTTCGTATGGAATATACCCTTTACATTTTCCATCTTATTACGTGCAGACAGACATGCATCTCACTTAATTATAATGCTACACCCCTGCTAACTGTAGTGTTATCAACAAACGTTTGGATTATGTAAATGCTTCCTTTTTAAAAGAAACAACCTCGATACTTTCCATTACTTTACTTTGTTTTCATCATAATGATAAGACTGGCTGGACACGCACCTCCACTCCTTCCTATCCTGAACCAATCTTCGCATTTCCCTAAAACTAGAACATGCCACATCCTTAACTACTTCCGAATAGTAATCTAATCTAGGTTTACCGCTAACCCTCTTAACTCCCGTTTCTTTCTCTAATATGTCTGACTAGACCTTCCATTATTTTGTTTTACTTGTTTAATATTCAATTAACTTAAAAATATTCTTGTTCTCTCTATGGATGTAAAGTCAAGGTTTTATTTGTGTCTTCTTTTTAAACCCAATTGGTACTGAGACGCCAAAACCAATTAATTTTTATTTGTGTCGTAATTAAACTTCTTTTCCAACTGAAAACGGCAATGTCTCGATGACTCCTGCTAATTCATTAAGATCTATATTAGTTGTTTAATCAAAAAATCATTTTTTTAAATTCATTTTTTGCGTTTTCTCAATTGTCACATGTATTTAAGACTGGCAATTCAGTGTTGAAGTTCAAGCATTAATTGTGAGTTGTTTAAATTAGAAATGCACATTGTGTAATATCAAGTACTTTTTTTGTAAGCTTGAAAAACGTTATTTAAAGGATAATGGCAAAACAGCTTTTATTTAGAATTCAGTAGAATCCGCTTATAATGACATCGAAGGGAAATGACTAACACGTCATACTAAGCGGACGTCATACGAAGCATAATCTTAGAAAATAAACAACTTTCTATTTTGGTTAGTTATTAAGTTTAATAGAGAGAAAAACTACAAATTGTATATATTTACTAACAGAAAAAGAAAAAGAACAATGAATTGTAATATCGATATACATAAGAAGGGTCAGAAAAATGAGCGAAAATGTTATTATTAATCATTTGGGTTATTATAGCCGGATGTGATTTCTTGAGAATCAGTCATAATAAACGATATGTCATTTTAAACGAAGTTATTATATGCAAACTTTCCTATGGAGAATTTAACATGGAAACCAAATTTAACACTGCAATTACTTCATATTAAGCGGTTGGTCAATATAGGCGGAGTCATAATAAACGAATTCCACTGTATCTTGGAAAATGTACTATGAGTTACTTACAAAATTCTGATTTATGTTTTACATTCGTTTTCAGTAGGAGACAAACGTTTGTGTTTTAAGTCTTCCCATTCTCTAGAGAAACGTCCTGAGTCCTGGATAACCGAATAGAGGCTGTATACCTCAAATAAAACTTGTACTGGTTGAATACTTTCTAACTTATCGTGAAACTAAAAGAAATTCTTTTGTTATAGAGACACTCAAAGTATTTTTTTCTGGTTATATTTTGTATGTATACGAAAGTAGCTTTATAACCCCGTAAATTATAAAATTGCTGACATTGTTTTTATGTACGAGGCAGTTAATTTTGAATAAATTGTGTTCCTAATTTGAGTTCAGTTTTATAACAGTTTTGTTTTAATGCAAAAACTCGTTATAAATAGAAGTTACACGCTAAATTTAAAACGGGCATTCGCCACGCGTGTTTACAACGGTGACAGGCGGTCGATGGACATTGTTTTAGCTTTATTTACAGAAGGAGCAATTTAGAGAGCCGGTTTGGGAAGCTATCAAGTCAATATTTAAAGGTGTAAGGCAACAACTTCAACAAAGGTTCGTATTTATGTACGTACGCAGTTGTTTAGATAGTTGGTGCAATATTTGTGTATATTCCTCTATCAGCACACTAACCCTGGTTTATTAAGAGTGGCCAAGAGCAAACGTGTACAGAGATTGAAAATTGTTCTATTATCTAGGGGTTGCAAAAGAGTTAGTAAAATAAGCCAAGGTAAATGTTTAGATGATGGTCCCCACCCCCTTCGTGGGTCGGATCGAATGATGAGGTCTCCCCCACCACTGCACCATAAAAAGTTCGTGGCGGTCTCACCCCCATAAAAAGTTATGGGGGTTAGATGGGGGTGAGGGTAGGGAGGATCGAAAGAGGGTGGTCACCTTAGTAAACCCCAAAAAAAAATTGCTGCGGTCTCACCCCCATAATATGTTATGGGGGTTGAAAGTTGATTATTTTGACAATTTTCATACACTATAATTCAAATAAAATTCAATAAAAAAATTATTTTCAAACGGGTGGAGGTGGGGGATCGAAAGAGGGTGGTCACTTCAACAAAACCCGATAACCTAACCTAACCTACCCTATTGATAAAGATATTTAAATAATGTTTTATATAACTTTCTCAATATTTTTATGTATTTTTCATTAGTTTTACCTTTGAATATTGTTTAAGAATGACTATATAAATATTTACATGCCTAGAAATGTATAAAAATTGGCATATTTATTAACTTTGAACCCCCATAACTGTTTATGGGGGTGAGGCCGCCACGAACTTTTTATGGTAAAGTGGTGGGGGAGACCTCCTCTTTCTATCCCTTCGGGGTTGGGGGCCATCATCTAGACCTTTACCTAAGCCAATAAAGAGAAGATTAATTAACGCATATTTTGGAAATCTGTTCAGTGTAACACAACACGGTAACGGTGGAGTAAAAGTGTAAAAATATGTATGCAAATGCAAAAAGATTTCAAAGTAAGTTGCTCTCAACCCTCCTTGATATTTGAATTTCTAAAGAGATCACTGCGTAGCGGAGATATGTCAAAAGAACTTATTGTGGAAGTTTTAGTAGGTATAAAATATATATGTCCGATTCGTTGATTTGCAGCCATTATTCAAAAGTTTTTTCAAGTTGAGGGTGTATTTCCTTACACCATGTTCTATATTCTTTTGTAAAAGTTTGAGATAAAACTCTAACAAAGTAGATATGCAATAGTAAACATCGTACAATGACTTCTCTATTTGTTACAGTGATGAGGCCCGATCATTGGGCTTCACCGTCTTGGTGGACATGAGAGGTGCCACATGGTCAACTGTCAAACCGATTTTGAAAGTCCTGCATGAACATTTTCCTCCCGGAGTTGTTCACCAAGCGATCATAGTGAAGCCTGACAACTTTTGGCAGAAACAGAGGACTTCTCTTAGCTCACACAAGTACAAATTTGAGGTAAGTTTTCATTTGATTGATTAACACTTATTAGATTAATTCCAATCCCAAGTCAATTTGGAAATTGGCGATTTTCGGGTTTGTTGGCCATGGTCTAGATTGGATGATGATCCTACTGGTGGAATGTAATGCAGAGTTGATGACTAAACGTCTGGTAGAATCACCATCCAATCTTGACCATGAGTAAATAAGTAACTACCAACGGAATGACAAATTTTTTCACGATGTAATTCTGTAACTTGATCAAGTGAAATGCTGATTATTCTGCATATCAAAGAGTCAAGATTAGTAACACATTACACAGTTCGTTTCCTGCTTAAAATTATAGTTCGATGACTCCTTCGTCATAAATGGTCCGGACTTTTTTCTGTGTCTGCTTCGAACTCGTTTTTGCGTAAAACATTTTTCCGACTCGCATTTTCATACTCAAAAAAGTGGAACCACTCTCGCTTTAGTATGTGGAAAACTCTAAGAGCCGTGCCACACGAATCATTTTTATAACGCTTCCACTAGGAAACCGATATCTATACAGAAATAAATAGTAAGCTTTTGAGGATGTTAACTATCTGCAATAGGTAATCCCATCGTGAGTAAAGCACCGTGGTTAAGGGACAAAAAATTTGTAAGAAAACCGAAGACGAAGTTGCAATCTGAGGCCGGTTCTGGGTGTGAATTGGCGACGTATAGAGAAGTTGCAATAACAATTAAGCAACTACATCGAAAAAAAATGTAAACAGTGACGGTTGTGGAACTACTAATAAAGTAAATATCAATAGCTTACTACTACTCCACTACACAATAATAATTAGACGTTCTTAGGCTTTAGACGTCAATTGCGATAATATTTAATTAAATAACTACTTTGTTCATCGCTGATAATATGCAGTAATTAAATACTCGTAGAACACAGATGCTGCTGCTGATGGAATGCGGCCATTGCAATGTCGTATTTCCCTACCAGGACCGGACTGACCTTTCAAATACGTTTTTCTCGAAAACGGTGGACTTTCGGACCACTAAATATTTACTTCATTCTCTTTTTTTATAGTGTTCTATCACCTCCTGCAAGCTTGCTACTTATTTCAGAACACCCTCTATAATATGAAATAACAAATGAAATCAACAAAAAGTCTAGTCATTTGTGTCATTTATTTATTGGATAAAGTAGGTTTTCTTCATTTGTCTTCTATAATTAAAATTTACTTCAAACAGGGTGTGGAAAACTTGATAAAATTATATTATTGAGGAGTAGAAGGGTCTTCAGCGATGAACATTAGGTTATCATTAGTTTCCTGCTTAATCCTTAAGTGTATTCACTGATATTTCTACTGTTTTACTTCTTTTTTCATTATCTCATCATCTCTTGTCTAACGTAAAAAATTATTACTCGCTTTTAATAAGGGAAATAAAAATGAATTTAATCTATTTTGTAATAATTAATACTTACTAAAAACAATATGAATTATCTGTTTTATAAGTTTTGTAACCAATGTTGGAGGTGTTCTTTCCGGATAGGGAAATTAGTTCTTTCTTTACGAAATTACTGATAGATTCGCTGCGGCGACGCCATACTAACCGCTTCGTGTAAAACCGTCTTTATTAAATTGAGAAAAAGGCACAATACTGTTGCAACCGGTGCACTTGTTGCCGTGAGAATTCAACCTGTACAACTCTTATTGTGTCCTGTTTTGCCGACGCATTGCGATTGCAACATTGTCCGAATAACTTTGTATGTCGTTCATAAAAACTACATTTTGCGCAGAATTGTAATTCACCTGCCATCGGCCACTAGAACCATACCTAATATGTAACATACACCTGTAATAATATTAATAAATGTTTAATTAGTATTTCGTATCGTACTTAATTAATTAATATTACGGGAATTATTTAAAATGTTTATATTTTAGTGAACGTTAAATTTGAATAGCAAATTTTCAATGCGACTTTTTTCGACCTAATGAATGTTCGAATTAAATTTTAGAGGGTGGATGTTGAGCTATTCCGTTTTGTAAATGAAAGTGGACTATGAATAATTCAGGAGCGTGCTCGTCATGTTTTTTTTTTAACGCATTTAATTGAAAAAGAAAATGCTTTACTCTCTTCAAAAACATTGAAAGCTATTTTTTTAGTAATTTACATACCATTTCAAATAAATGATGGATTTTCAGTGGCATATGTTCGTCGAAGGGGATGTAATCCAGAATTTTGTGTTCCCGTCGTTTCAGTCCGCTAAACATAATTCTATTCTATACTGAATCAACCGCATACGGCGGTGCTCATGACAATACATTTTACTTTAATGTAAGACTTATTTTTTTTGGGGTTCCGTACATCCGAATGAAAAAAGGAACCGTTGTAGGATCACTCGTGTAAGGGTCTCAAATATATTTTTATACCTAATTTTAAAATATGTAAATAGTTTTAAAGTTATTTAGGAAAATAGATGAAAATTAACTGTTCCCCCCCCATTCCCCCCTTTTCCCCTGAAACTACTGAACCTAACGTGGCAAATCTTTCAACAAAACAATAATGGCGTACAAATTTATATTTGCAAATTTGAATGTATGGGAGAACATGTTTTTTTTTTAAACTACAAAGTCCAGTTGGTTCTTGGGTTAGGGTTCCGCACGTCAGAATGAAAAAAATTCGCTAGTTTTGTAGTTTTAATTTTTGTATTTATTTTGCAGTGCAAATTCAACTCGTATTAACGTTCTTTTATTGCCTGGACTAAATATTGGTTGAACAAACTGTAGATCTACAGAACAATAACTTCTAGGTTATTATCTGCCTCTTATCAGACGTTAACCGAAGCCGGTGTTAAATAATAGCCAGGTAGATAAATAACCTCAATTAGAGCGTTAACGCCATCTATAGGGGCTTGCCACTAACTATGGGTACATTAATGCCTTATCATTTATATAACCTCGTCGTAGGTATATTTCGTTTAGATAAGTACCTTGTTGAACGTTACTAGGTAAATTCCATAATAAGTAGCAAATTTTTGCAGATTGCGTTAAATATATTTATTCATTAATGCCAACAATTAAGTAAGTTGGCGTGCTGAAGAGACCTAAAGAATTGGAAATCGCTATCCAAATCTGATAGCTTCTACAGAACACTGCTCATAATCGATTTTTTTTTGTTTTCGTGGAAGATGAGGGGAAATCTTCGAAAGACACCCAGCTGCCCGAAACAGTGTGTCGGATTCCCGAAGAAGGTGTTTTGGGACCCACCGACTAAAACCCCTGTATCTCACGCTGCTATAGGATCAATTAAGGTCCTCTTCAGCCGATTGTGGTTATTAATATTATGAGACTGTGTATTTTGAAAATTAACTGTGTTTGTGTGGCAGTGTTATTTAAGGGAGTTGGGTAGGTTATCTAGGAATTCATCAGGATAATCGGGAGTGGTTGCCAATAATTTTGCATGGGGGGATCATGATCGGTTCAAACGGACCCTATTAAAAATCAATGAACCCTCGATTAGTTGAATATATCTCAGATGGCGCTTGTTACGCTGTCTGAGATTATTTATAGTTCCGTGCATACACTTTCAACTTCGAAATACATTATGAAAACATGTTTGAGCGGTATTAATCACGGATCATAAAGTTATGGTCATAATAAAATTTAAGTGGTCACAAAATCCTAAAATGACTTCACCTAAGCATGACTTAGTGATCTATGCTGTGTTTTAGGTTTGAAGTTAAAACGGTGCAATTATAGTACGCTTGTTTTTGTCATACACACAAACCCAAAACCCTTAACTATTCTCCGAGTTGTAAACTGCATAGCGTTGCTTTGTTGTGAATGAACGGGCAATTAGCTAAATGGCAAACTTCACAGAATAATAACAATAAACTGGCGAGACTGCGAATTCAGCACCGTGGTTTATTTCGAAATTTAACGTATACTCAACCGTAATTCAAAATATGTACTATGTGTACGTAGTTTTATAGCAGTATTAGCATCTAGCAAGGAGGACGTAGAGATAGCTTTAAATAAAATGGAAGCGATACTGACAGACCAGTACTGCATGAAAATAAATAAAAGTAAAACAAAAATACTGGTATGCAAGGGAAGAAAAAGTAGGGAAAGAGCGAATATAAAGATAGGAGACGAAAAATTAGAAGAAATGGCTGATTTTAGATACCTAGGAAGTCAGATAAATCAGGATGGAAGGAGTAGTAGGGATATAATGTAGAGGATAGCGCAGCGTCGTGTCGCCTTTAATAAAAAGAAGTCACTTCTATGCTCGCGAACGGTTAATTTAGAAATTCGAAAAAGGTTGTTAAAGATGTATGTTTGGAGCACGGCGTTGTACGGGTGCGAAACATGGACAGTGGGCGCGGCGGAAAAGAAAAGGTTAGAAGCGTTCGAAATGTGGTGTTATAGGCGGATGATGAGGATATCGTGGGTAGAAAAGGTTAGAAATGAAGAGGTATTGGAAGGAATAGGAGAACAGAGGACTCTATGGAAGTCAATAAAAAATAGGCGAGATAGGTTGGTAGGACACCTTCTCAGGCATGAAGGTCTAGTCAGAGACATATTAGAGGCAGAAACAGGAGTTAGGAAGGGTAGAGCCTAGATTGGATTACTGTTCGCAAACAGTTGTGGACTGTTCTAGTTTTAGGGAAATGCGAAGTTTAGCTCAGGATAGGAAAAAGTGGAGGTACGTGTCCAACCAGTCTTAGGACTGACGACCTTATGATGATGTATACGTAGTTAGTTGAATCATTAGCTTTTATTTTGTAGGAGGAATTCTTGTCGTTGAAATTATCGTCAACTGTAGTTCGGCGAAAAGAAATTGTATAAAGAGTCTTTAATAATTAATTTTTCACGGCTCATTATTCCGTATGTTTTCTTCTTACAATTTCGCTCTACTGAGCTACGTGATCTAGTGATCTAGTTTTAAGTGCTTTATTGCCATTATCTAGACCTAATATTTCACTTGTTTTCTGTCTTCGTTTCGTCTGTCTCAACGGTCTCTCCCCAGTTGCCGCCGACCAATTCCAATGGTCTCTGAAGGGGGTCTTCCACTTAACCTTTCGGTTTTGCGCCACATTCTACTGATCACAGTTAAGGTTCGATCTACTGCTTACCCATCAACGTAAGATGCTAATGGAAACGAATGCATAAAAAGTTTTTGATGTTTTATTTAATTGCTTTGTTAACTAATTTGTTACCAACTTCAAAAATTTGTCGTTAATTTGTTACCAACTCCAATAATTTGTCGCGAATGTGTCACCAACTTCAAAAATTTGTCGCTAATTTGTTGCCAACTCCAAAAATTTGTCATTAATTGGTTACCAACTCCAATAATAATAAGAACAATAGAAATAAGCATTATAACTTCGTCATGCTAAAAGATTGTAGATTAAAATAAAATAAAACTCCAATCCATTTTAGATCCCTAAAAAGATATTCAAATTAGGTACTTATTACATAATTAATTAAATCAAAATTCCGTAATTGTTCAAGAAGAAATTTTGAATGTATAAAATCCGAATCCTTTTTAGACTTTTGATTGGTATTTTTGATTTAACGATTTTTTTCCCATAATAGTATACATTTTTTGTAATGAAAAGTGGTATTGACGATAAAAAGCTACCTCTAGAAACTTACCTAAATTAATTAGAAATTTGGTAGTAAAAAGACAGTAAAACATTTACAACTTTAGAAAGGTAAAATAAGTAATCAGATTCTCGCTACAAACAGTAAAATCAATCCAGTTCGAGCTTACGACCGTATCCAACTTGAGTTTGAATTTGAAACCTTCGCCAAACTTAAATTGATTCTTTTAGTTTGGCGGGACACATTTTCTATCATCTGCAGACGCTTCCTACTCTCTAAGTACGAACTTTTGCAATTCACTTATTGTTTTACCCATCAAAACTCGATTGGACATTTTTATCTCCATTTACAAGGAAATTTTAAAGCACAATTGGTCTGGGGGTGCATGATCACCGTGCAGCGGATTGGTTATAGAGTTTTTATTATTTGGTTGTTTTTTACGTTACAGCGATTTCTTTATAATTGAATCGTGTAATTCAAGTGAAATAGATACCTATAATTTCTTCACTAAATAGTATAAAACAAAGTCGCTTTCCCGCTGTTTGTCCCTATGTATGCTTAAATCATTAAAACTACGCAACGGATTTTGATGCAGTTTTTTTTAAAAGATAGATTGATTCAAGAGGAAGATTTATATGTATAATACATGCATAATATAGTAGGCAAACAGTGATAATTTTAGAGGTTTCTAATGTGACGTCGTAAATAAACACATTTTTTGCGCTTACATTGCAAACGCTGACTGAACCCTACGAAATAGATGAAAATAATGTACTACAATATTGTACATCTTGAAAGGGTGTACAAAAAAGTCTGCAATGGTATATGTCTATCTCTGAGGGATAACCCACAATAACCATTTTTATCCTTTACTTTTATGAGAAATAATGACTTATTTACGAACCGATTGTAGGCAATACAGCATTAATTCTTATCCAATTAAGTACCTTAAATACATTGTGCATTTAATATAGATCAATATGGCCCTTCACAGCGTGTAATTTAAATGAATATTTTCGAAGATATTACAGATTTAAAATGCAGGGACATAGCGGTTGCGGCGGTACCGGCCGGGAGGCCGGTCTGTATTGTCTAATAACAAAAAACTGTGAATGTTGTATTTAAAGACATTCTGTAATATATTTAGTATGTTCAGGGGGTATCTTTTGAAGATTTCCCCTTTTCGATAATAATCTAAACAAAACAAAAATATACATATTTAGTATCAGTATTGTACCCGTGCGAAGCTGGGGCGGGTCGCTAGTAAAGTATAAAATAATAAAAGAACAATTCACCGCTTTCATATTATTAATTAAATCATCTTAAAGAGTTTAATAAACGCGATGACGTATTGCACGGGAAGATAAAATCGCGGGAAATAGATTGAGCAGAATTGCAACTATGAAGCATACCTACAACTTGTTTTATGCCTATCGAGCAGTAACCGTTTAAACCTATAATAACAATAGAGAGAACGGATATATGACAGCTTATTATGTGCAGCGCGATTACATTAATTTAAAATTGTAATTTTTTATTCAACGCATGCGTGACTTTAGCGCTTTATTATTCTGCCTCTGAAGTCAGTCATAAATGGTCGTTTATGTGCAATTGATGCAAACATTTTCTTGTTTGCTTAGGTAGATGTTTTTAGAATTGTATTACAATAACTTGCACATTAAAAAAGAGTGCAGGTGGACTGGCCACACGGCTCACACGTGCTTGATTAAAACACCCGTTCTTGTAGACAAGGGGTATCGTGTATCTATGGTTTCCTAAAATCATTGTAGGAATTTTAATATTTGCACCTCGTAGATTTCCTGTGAACTAACTGATTCGAGTTAAATTCAATTAAGTAAAACGAACGATTCTGAAAGCGAACGCTCTCTTAATAATCTCCCAAAACTGGAAGGTACGTTTTAGAATACAGGAGCAAAGTGTTGCGACTGTAACGTAATTTTGAGGGTACAAAGAAATAATTTAGACGATCGATAATAGAATTTGGTTAGCTGCTGAAAGGCATAATTGAATTGACTAAAACGGATTTTTATTATCTTTTACATTATCGTCAAAAAAAAAATAAAGATCTAGGTTCGAGTACCTAAAATAATTTGACCCGCTTTTTTACCCATATTATTGCGGAATGTTAATAAATGGTAAATAAATTCTGAATAGTAGAATTTTCGCGTATCTACTTTTAAGGAATAAAACTTTCTATTCATTTCAAACAAACAAATAAACAAAATATTCGTATTTTGATGAAAAATTTCCTAGTTCTTTACATACATCTCATTAGTTTTAACGAAAAAAAACAACAATTTGTTGTTATTTGAATTGTAGCCGGGGCAGTCTTGCAAAGCTTTAAATCTTAACCTTTTCATGTGACTTAATTGAAAGCCTGAAGAATACTTCGCTTTAGTCGTTTACGTCAAAGCTTAAAGCTTTTGTACGATGGTTCGTGCTTTTATTTAAAAACGTAGAATTACTTTTAGTAAGATTTAGCAAAGCCAGTCTAGAGCGGATAGGAACATTTAATGTATTTTCTAGTCTATTTTGTGTTTATTCGCTTTAGAATACGCATTCATGTTTCGTCAACTAAAAATCAATAAACGTATATTAAGCTAGCATGACAAAGTTATGTTTCTCATTTCAAAACTGCAGTAAGTATAATTAATCTGTCCCTAATTTGTTACCAATTTAAAATATTTGTCTCTAATTAGTTACCAAGTTCAAAAATTTGGTTGCCAACTCCAAAAATTTGTCGTTAATTTGTTACCATCTTCAAAAATTTGTCGCTGATTTGTAACCAACTTCAAAAATTTGTCGCTGTGACGGGTTACTGGAAAAGAGACAATACCATTGCGTATCTCCAAGTTCAAGTGGCATACAGCAATCCTGTTAAGGCTATAATTTTTCGCTAATTTGTCGTTAAAAGGATATGATATGTGCGGTGCCACCTAAGCGCTTTTTCAGTCCAATCATTCAGCGACAAATTAGTGATAATTTATAATCCTTTTACGGTATTGCTCTACTTCATTTGTGTTTTGAAATACGTTATGTATTGTCAGGTTTGATATCAGGATAGCATTTTTTCTATTTTCCAGTTTTGGAGTTGGCAACAGATCAGCGGCAAACTATAGTATACCTTACAAATAAACAATATAACTTCGTCGTGCTAGCTTGTTATACGCAATCGATGGGATTATTCGTAAACAAGACGGGAAAGACACGATCTAGAAAAGCAAGAGCTTTATTACTGCACGCATTTCAATTAATATTGTTTTACTACACCGACAAAGGAATTGACATCGGAACGGGAACCAAGTTCCATGCAAGGTGTAATCGAATTACGCTCTTTGATATTAAATTTATACCTTATTGTCAATTTTTAACACTCAATTGAATACGTTTAACGTAATAAATGTAAAACTTGCCAAGTTATAAATTCAATAACGAAAATCGTCATTAGATGATTGTGTGGAGCTTGGCACCTGTTCATTTTCAGTTTTTTTTTCGGCAAAAGCGATACCCTAAACGTCGTCTATGACGAGTTTACGTATTTTTTTGATAAGATAGATACTACAAGGAACTTGTTGCATACGCGTTAACTTTTACACTTTAATTTTAATGCATACACCTTTTGTGCAAAGTTTTCTATCTGTTCTTCTAATGCACTTTACTAATTGTCGCGATCCCTTTCCGAAGAAGGAAGCGCTCTCTTCAAATATCAACCCGTTTTTGTGTAGGTGTATTTACCGAACGTCGTGTCATGATTCAATATCATCAGCTACCATTTACTTGCTCCCCTTTTCTCGTTCAAAGTTCAGCTCTGCCATAATGTCTCGAATGAATGCGATAATGCGCGTTGAAAATTGAAAAACCCTCCACCATCCAGCCATTATCCGTATCCGGTTTACTTCGTCATAAAAAGAAGGGATGAAATTGTTATTTCCTCTGTTCATTGATCCCGATAAAATCACCGAATAATTAATTAATCGACTGATACATTCAGATTGTGTGATAGACAGAAATGCTTGATTAAATTTGTTACATTCAGCTGAATCAATCGAAAAAAATCAATTGCTGTGAATTAAAGCTTTATCTGCAACCCGTTTACCTATCCTCTCTGGATTATAAAACCATATATTCACGGTCCCAATACTCCCGCCCCTCCCCCATCTAGTTACTATCTCGAAGAAAAACGTCCTGATTCAAGCCAGTAGAAGTCCCTGTTTTGAAATACAATTATCTAGTTTTAAAATTGTTCTCTATTCTTTCAGACAAATATGATAAGCGTAGAGGCCTTGCCAAAAATAATCGACACGTCACAACTGACTACGGACCTGGAGGGAACCCTCAGTTACGACCACGCTTCGTGGCTGGAGACCCGGCTCGCCGTTGAGGAGTTCGTTTGGCAAGCTGCCGATCTCCTCGATCGTCTGGACGATCTCCAGGAGGACCTTGCCAGGAACGATTTTGCCGATGACGTCAGTGGTGCAAAGCACGGTATTGATATCCACAACGAGATGAAGAAGAAAATTATGAAAGCGCCCGTTGAGGACATTGATCTGTTGGGTGAGTGTTTTGTGTTTTTATTAAACACTAACACTGCTAATCATACACATATAAATAGATACAAATAATATTTGCACAAAATTTCACTAACCTCATTGATGAACTTAAATTGTTTATTAAAATTTAATTAGACGTTTGATTGGTCAACTAGTTGTAGAATGTTGTAATATCGGACGAGATAGCCGCACCGAATTACATTACAAAGCTACCTATCCATTGATATACTTAAATTGTTTAGTAAATTTATTTAACTTCGTATTTATTATATATTTACAAAAGCGCAGCTATTGTTTGTTAACCAGTTTGTTAAGTTACAAAAATAATTGAAATAATCTTTCTGATATCACGCAATTTTCGTTTTAAGGATTGTTTCTTACACTCCTTAAACCTATGCTAAGAGAAACGTTATATACAGTTGACTTTTAAATAACTTTGGCTGTTGCTTTATTGTTACGGTAGCATAATAAAATAACGTATAATGTTACTGTAAGTTTAGCAAAATCTAAAAAATTATTTCTATAAAACTTTGTAAGGGTGTTTGAAGATTAGCTGTATTTATCGTGGCCCTTAATGTTTATAAATTGTGTGATGGACTACGTTTACAATGAAAAAAGGCAGTGTATTTTTTTATCAGTTGCGGTGATATCTTCTGAAAAATCAAATTCATCTAAATAGTGAAATTGTTGTAATAAATAGTCATGATAGTCGTGGAAATGGTCGTGAATCTGTCGAATTCTTGCCTTTTATCAATGTTAACGTTTAACAGGTTTCAAATGTTTTTGTAGCTCCATTTATCCTGTTATAACTGTATAATCCGTTAAATAATCTATTGTTCTGAACAAAATGAAGAAACATTGTTGTTTGTTGTTGGCAATATTTTCCGTATTTTTTATTGATTTGTTAAACGATTAGCTTCGAATTTTACATGCCAATTGGAAACGATTTTTACACAGGTTTGAAATTTAGTGAAAGATATGAAGAACGTAAACAAAAGAACATATGACAAACAAGGAGAGACAGTCATCAAAATTGGAATGAATGAGGGAAATTGTTTCTCATATGTCCTTTTAAGTTTTTCGTAAAAAAAATAGGTCTAAGTCTGATACACCTCTTGCAACAGGCAAGATAAAAAAAATGGAAAAATTCTCGAAAGTTTTTTTTATACTGTAAAATAATACTGCGTAGGAAGCGGCTTGCAGTACGTAATCCTCTTAAAGGACGACTTTATTTCTGTTACATTTCCCTTTCAACGTGGGTGTCGGTATAATTAGATTTTGTTGATATTGACGTTCGCAGAAATCGCTATATAAATGAAGGTTGACGTGCGGAATTACATAAAATTCTTTATATTTAATTTGGCTATTTTTGCAAATGTCATAGATGACATGGTAAATGTACCTAATGCTAAACTGAAATTATTGTTTTAATGTTTTCAAATGTAATTCAGTATAGCAAGAAGTTGATTCGTCGCGATTTTATGCAAGGATGCAAGAAAATGGTAGTTATGAGTTGCATGGCATTCGCGTCAAATAGCGCCTTTATAGCACGTCAATCTTGTTTTTCTAATCATAACTTACGAATTAGTCGTGGCGGTTAAGCGCCCGTAGTGAACTTACGGCGATCTTGAATTATGTTGCAAGTCACTCACGTCAATATTTCCTTCGTGGTGAGTTCATAGCGGGCGGGTCGTAAGTTGTAAGTCACTAGCTTCGACTAAGCATCCCTCGTGAGCTCATAGCGGGGAATTTTCTGTCACGAGTTACTCGGGTCGATTTCTAAAATGTGGCGAGCTCACAGCGGGTCACACCTGTGTTACAAGTCACTTACGCTGAATTCCCGGTCGTCATGAGTTCATAGCGGGCGGGTCGTATGTTGTAAGTCACTAGTGTCGACTAAGCATTTCTGGTGAGGTAGCAGCGGGGAGCCTTCTGTTACAAGTTACTCGCGTCGATTTCTAGACTGTGGCGAGCTCACAGCGAGTCGCACCTGTGTTATAAGTCACATACACTGATTTCGCCGTCGTCATGAATTCAAAGCGGGCGGGTCGTATGTTGTAAGTCACTAGTGTCGACTAAGCATTTCTGGTGAGCTAGCAGCGGGGAGCCTTCTGTTACGAGTTACTCGGGTCGATTTCTAAAATGTGGCGAGCTCACAGCGGGTCACATCTGTGTGACAAGTCACTTACCCTGATTTCTCGGTCGTGATGAGTTCATAGCGGGCGGGTCGTAAGTTGTAAGTTATCAGCATAGAGTAAATTTCTATTACGAGTCGCTCACGTCTATTTCTACAATGTGTCGAGCTCACAGCGGGTCACACCTGTGTTACAAGTCACTCACGCCGATTTGTCGCTTTTAATGAGTTCACAGCGGGCGGGCCTTAAGTATTAAGTTACCAGCATGATATAAGCTTCTGTTGCGAGTCATTCACGTCGATTTCTGGAATGTGGCGAGCTCACAGCGGGTCACACCTGTGTTACGAGTCAGTCACGTCAATTTGTCGGTCTTAATGAATTTATAGCGGGCGGGTCGTAAGTTTTAAGTTACCAGCATGATATAAGCTTCTGTTACTAGTCATTCACGTCGATTTCTAGAATGCGGCGAGCTCACAGTGGGTCACACCTGTGTTACGAGTCACTCACGCCAATTTGTCGGTCTTAATGAATTCATAGCGGGCGGGTCGTAAGTTGTAAATTATTAGTATGATGTTAGCTTCTGTTATGAATCACTAACGTCGATTTCTAGAATGTGACGAGCTTACAGCGGGTCACACCTGTGTTGCAAGTCATTCACGCCGATTTGTCGGTCTTAATGAGTCATAGCGGGCTGATCGTAAATTGTAAGTCACCAGCATGATGTAAACTTCTGTTACGAGTCACTCACGTTGATTTCTAGAATGTGGCGAGCTCTCAGTGGATCATACCTGCGTTACAAGTCACTCACGCTAATTTCTCGGACGTGATGAGTTCATAGGGCAGGCGGGTCGTAAGTCACTAGCGTCGACTAAGCATCTGTGGAGATCTCACAGTGGGGAACCTTCAGTTACGAGTTACTCGCGTCGATTTCTAGATTTTGGCGATTTCGCAGCAAGTCACTTTGTTTTCGTCGATTTTTGGGTCGTGGCGAGTTCATAGCTTTAGAAGTTACCAGCGTGAAATAACCTTCTGTTACGAGTCACCCATCGATTTCTAGAATGTTACCTTTTTTACCATATAATTTTACGGAACACTTGCTCTAGTTTGCTTATATGTATATGGAGTAGATAAGCATAAAATATCTCTTTAAAGTAATTAGTTGTTTGATAAACATAAATTTTAAAGGGTTTCTTTACCTTTGATTTTATTCATCGATGAATTTCTCTTCAGGGCAACGACAAAAATGAACAATGCTATAGTCATTTCATTATCAATTTATTTTGTAATAAGTTCCTTTTTACAAAGCTAATGGTTAATGTAATTTTTTGCATTAATGATTACTTTTGTATATGTTGATGGAAAATATTTGCATTAATATTTTCGCAGTCCTTGTTGTAGTTGAACAGTACGTATACACTTCGTATAATGCTGTTGGGTACACCGCTGGAATATAAATTGTGGAAATTTATCTGTACTTTCTAGTTGAGAACATTTTTCAACATCTGAATAATTAACCAGACCAATTACCCAGGGACCGCTAATTCATTAACCCTACCAGCCACTTCGTTACTCCATTAGATGGACGTATAAAAAAAGCAGATGCTGAACCAAATTAATGAATTAAATGTCTTTTTTGGTCTATTTTTCCTGCAAACTACTTTTTAATTTCGAAATGGCAAACTTCTATTAGATGCAAGCAACTGAATTTTACAAAAGTATAAGCCAATCGGTCGCTAAATTTATTGTTAATTATCAAAAAGTAATTCATTTTTTCGAATATGTATGGCGGAAAGTAGATTTTGATTTTGTTACGTTTCCATATGTTTTCATATTTTATTTTATTTTATTTATCATTTTATTATTTTATTTTTCATAATTTATTTTATTTGTTATTTATTTATATT